TCTTGCCCCATCATAGATTCAATGAAGCATCCTAGGTAGACTCCTTATATTAAGTTATAGATTTCTTTTCTTTGGTGTAGACACAATTGATGGACAGAACTTCTTTGCAAAATTACAAAAAAGTTTTAAGAACTGGATTGCTTGATATTATAGGTTAAAGACAGCTTTGCATGTTGCACGACGGGTAAAACTAATATTTACCCAAAAGATAAAAGCTACAAACACCAAAGTTAACGAACTCCTTTGGGTCACAAAGCAGAAGATTGGAATATTTTGAAATTGGAAGGGCATTAGCCATTACCCAATAGGTCGTTTTTGATGTTTATCAACTCCCATTTATGGCAATTAAATTGGCCGTCCTATCTCATTTAGCTCCACTAGAGGATATAGGAGTTAGGCAAACAAAAATTCACTTGATTTCTTTTCTTCCGGCTTATTGCGTGGCTCTTCCTTTTTATTGAAAAAACCAAAGAAATAGACTCATTTTGTAATATAATAAGGGATACTTCAACTAATTATAAAATTAGTTTAAAAAGTAATGGTTTAGTTAGTTAGAGAGTCTATTTATTATTTTTATTGATTAAATTTTAATTTTTTAGAAAGGTAAATAAAAATGTAATTCTCATAAATTTCTTAATTTTTAATAAGTAAATGATTTATTTTTAATTAAATCAATAAAAGATTAACTTTTTGATAGACAAAAACTAATTTAGAAATACTTTAATTTAAAAAAAAAAAAAAAAACACACACACACACACACAACTACAAAATTGTTCTCGTTAACATCAATCAACTAGTCAATTTCTTCTATGGTGTGTCACTGTATAAGTCTTCCGTTTGTTACAAGTTTTCATTGCTTGGCATAAAATGAGAGGGTGATCTGGAAAGTAGAGAGTAGAAAAAAAGATGGAAAACCAAAATTGCAAATGCCATGAAGTCTCTATCAAAACAGTATTAATGGGGAGAGGGGAAGAGGGAGGAGAAGAGACAGCGTGATCAATCAAAATATTTGGCTGCCTCGTTCCATTTAACATTCCACACAGATAATAAGATCCAAATTATGAGTGAGATATTAATTTAAGTGAGAAAATTTAATTTTTTTAAATAAAATTTTAAATTTAAATTTTATAAATAAAAAAATAAATATTATAAGAGTTTTTTTCTTATAAAATTATATCTATTTTAATTTTAAATTAATCAAAATTTAATATAACTTTTAAATATTAAAAGTTCGTAAAAAAAAAAAAAATCCAAACACCCGAAAGGCGCAGTTCTTGTCACTGCCACCGGGGTCTTATGGGCCCACCATTTGCACGTTTATGAAGATGAAGGACCCCTCTGGTCTCACTCAAAGCTAGGCCTGTCAAAAGGGCAATTAAGTTGAGCTAAATTCGTAGTGGGTCTTTTACGAGACACACAAATTGAGTCATAAAAGGGTTATGGATTGACAAATATTAACCCTAACCCGAACCTCAATCTAGGGTCATAAAAGATTTATGGGTAGGTAATATGTAATCAATTAATATTATTAAAAATTTTAAATAATATAGATATATTTTTTAAAAAAATAGACAAAATGAGTCATTTTATAAATTATGGGTTGAAAAATTTCTTACCAGTAACCTAATCAAGCCAACTCCATAATTTATGAACAAATCAAGAGTCATAAAATGCAGATCCTAATTTGTTTATATATGTGGAGTTCTCAAGCCAACTCCACAATTTATGAACAAATCACAAGTGATAAAGTATAAATCCTAGTTTGTTTATGTGAGTCAAGTTCTAAAATTCCATACCTACTCACAACCTTACCTGTCTTTATTTTTTGAACAAGTTGTTAAAGGATGGATTCGAAATCCATCCATGAAAAAAGAAGAATGCATCTCAAACTGACAAACTGTCAATTGACCCTAAGGATCAGGTGCCAACCCTACTTGTTTTTATGCTTGTTAGAAAGTAAAAAATAACATTTTTCTTATAAAAAATACCAAAAAGAAAGAAGAAGAAAGGTAACCATGTCAAACACGCTCCGTGTATCCCCACACTAGGAACATACGTATCAACCCCAAAAATAATGGCATTAGGGCCATTGACTTCCTATACTCCGCTGCCTAATTCACTTAATTAGATTTAAAGGCACTACAGTGGACAAATTATAGTGATGTGGACAATTATGTAGTGCTTTGCTTGGATGTGGTTATTCCCATATTTGAATTTGTTGGTCACATATATTGTTAGAAATTAAATTAAATTAAATTATTAAAAATAATTAATAAATTTTATTTTATAAATTTAAAAAATTTATAATTTAATATTTTTAAAAAATAAAAATTAATAAAATAATAATAAATTTAATAAACCCAAACAAAAATAAATGTGGCAATAACTATCTCTTTTCCCTTGAAATAATACTACTCCTACGGGCTGTTTAGATTTACGAGAAATGCTAGCACTCTACACTGCTCTCTAGTCTTGCACCCTCAATTTGGCATGATATATTTTCGCTTTTTTATAGGAATCTTTAAATAATATTTTTTATATAATAATAACTGAATGTTTTATTCTTTATATTAATTTTTGTTAAGTAATTTTATTTAGTAAAATAATTTAATTATCTTAAGTATGTATTTTGTAAAATAAAATTATTTAAAACTATGCATATTATAAAGACTCAATCATATGAAAATGTAACTTAAAAATATTTTTAAAAAGTTAGACAACATATATTTTGAAACGGAGGTTCATGAGTAAGTTTGTGTGCTTCAATTATTATTTTAGGTTCAATTCTGGTAATTATCCCAGGAACTAGCTAACTCTTTGCAACTTGTAAAAGTCCTAATATTTGTTCAACTAACTTCTAATAAATGAGGCAAGGTCTCGAACAAGTGCACACAAAAAATTCTAAAACTATGGTGATATTTTGTGTAAGAGATTTCAAATTCTATTTTTAAAAGATGAAATTGGGAAAAGAGGAAAGAAATACCTCATATTATATTTATATATATAAAAAAAAACTCATATTATACCACAATTATATATCTCAACAAAGAATTATAAGCAAAAATCTTATTGTTTAAATTAAAAAATATGATTCATGAGCCGAAAATTTTGAGGCCAAAATCAAGGCAATTTTTTTTTTTTTTTTACACCATAGATTTGGACATATGTTTAGTGATTGTTAATTGTAAAGATATTTTCTACTTACTTTCAAGTTCACTTTTAACCTGCAAATTATTACTCTTTAAATTAATGTCAAGATATAGAGGTAACAAAGATTTTGGTCGAGTAAAAAAGGGGGGAGTCTAAATCTCTATAATATCTTCTTTTCTAAATGTATGGCAAGATTTTTCTAGTGTTAAGCTTAACATGTGAGGTTTTCAAGTTAGTTGAGACGGACATAAATGACTCTCCTCTAGTGATATAGAACATTCAACTTTGAAGATATCTTTGATTAAAAATGAGAATAGTAACAGAGGTTGGTGTTGATAACATGATGGGATATTGGAATTTTGATGATTTGATTATGAAGGATGCCTGGATTGGACAAGCAGAGCATAAATGCCATTGAAAATGAAAAATAGGCTACCGCTGATGCAGGGTGAAAGTGATGCACCGCCTAAAATAGTAATGTGGCAACATCACACTTTTGCGTCCTTTCATTTCCCATTATTTTATACTAAATATGTTCATTATGCCTCCATGAAAGATGAAACCCCTTCTTTCTCGCAAATGGTGCATGTTTTTATCATTTCATTTACATGATTAAATCTAAAGTAATAGTAGTAACCTTTATCATTTACTTTGGAATGCTTGATTACTGAAAGCTAATCTGTTGTTTAAAAGTTTAACCTTTGATTATGAATGGACTATCCAATACCCTAAAGCCGAAACAAAAGAAGAACGACCAAACAAAGGCAGCTAATCAGTCAAGGGGTATCCTGTCATTAAGAATCACATTGGAACACCTTTTTCTTTTACTAGTAATTTTCATTTAGTTATTTTTTCAAGTTCTGCTGTGATTACTCGTAAGTGAAAAGTCATACCCAAGAAGTGGTTTCGATTCTTTAAGAGATAAATGAAATAATTTTTTATGAATTAGTTTCAATGTAAAATGACTTACTTTTGACTAGCAGACTATGGTGTGTGAAATCTACCAACGTCACCTAATCATGTTATCATTTGATTCCTGAAAAAATGGTTCTATCACATGGATTTATTTATTTATTTATTTTACATAAATACCACTATGAAATCTCCATACTAATATTTCTTTCAGGTGTTTTAGTTAATCTAGAGGTTTGAATTTTAGACATTAATAACAATTAAGGTTTTGAAGGTAATGATAAACAACTCTACTGATTCCTTGATGGTTCGTAAGGAATAAGATTCGTTGTAAAAGTAATGGCCCTGATTGACAGGGTTGGCCCAGAGTGACGACTGGAGGATGTCATATTGAACCAGGCCCTGCGGCCTGCATGTGCACAACAATCAGGCCTCCTCTGGGCCAAAGCTTCTGGTTTATTCTCTGCTGCCTTAGCTAGGATCACGGGACTCTAGTTTCAACAGTGGATTTTGAGAGGAAGAGTTTAATGATTTCAAGGATTGGATCAACCAACTGAAGTTTTGTAATTCCCAGAGGTACGCAACCGTCCGGGTCAAAAAACACCCAAGAAACAGAACAAATCCACTGATTCTTTTCGTTGTTCATATATCGGGTCCAAACCAACTCTTTTGGATTTGGATGGATGCCAGTGTTTTTAGAATCCATTTTTGAGTGGTGTTTAGGATCCAAAATATACCTGTTTGAACAACCAAACGTGCTACTCTAGAATCTATATCTTGGATTTTTTATCCAAATCTGTTAATGATACCATGATCTAAACTTGTAAAAACTGAAAATAATAAAATGACTGAGTTTCAGAGAGTCAACCATTCGAAGGATCAATGAGTAAAAACAGAAAATAAGAAAGGAAATAGGAGGGTATGCAACCCTGGATATTAACTGGTAGTTGGATTACGAAAATGGCAACTATATCCTCAACAAACTTTATGCTTCTCTATAATTTACTCCAAAAATTCTATCATATATTATCTAGTTCCATCACAAAGACAACACTAGTTTCATGAGTTCTCCACGGAACACCCCTGTTGAAGTCACTGAAAATAGGCTACACGAGGAACAAGCTGTATTGCAGTGGTCACGAAGTCATACCTGTCATACATAAGGGCCCAGAAATGTGGTTCCCGAGTTTGGACCTCTCAAAATGTTAATCTACAACTTTTCTGTAGTTCTGACGATCTTCGGTGGTCAAACTATCGAAATGTAAAACCCCTATTCATCGTGGACCAGCAGAAGGACGGGGTTTTGCCTTCATTGAATTCAGGTGTTGGGTGACAAAGATTACTCCCATGACCACTAGAAGGCAACCAACCAGCGTGCTGAAGAACAAGGCACCTGGCTGCCTAGTTTGGACAAAACCATAAACTCCAGTAGATGTCACGAGAATGATGTCCGTAAGCCCATCGTTTGAAAAGTCCTCAGTGATGAGGGCATGGGTGGGTGGTGCAGGAAGATCAACTGAAGTTAATATGCTTCCTCCAGGTGAGATTAGTACGGCTTCTTGGTCTCCTGCTGCCAGGATCATCTGTTGATTGTCATGGACACGCAAAGAGAATGCCTTCAAAGTAGGGACCACGGTACCAGCTTCCATCATCCCCGATGGAGAAGGAAGATTTGACCATGTAGCATCTGTTAAAAGCTGCCACTGCCAAACAGCATCATGTCCATGCAAACCAGGAGAGTATGCAGTTACCTGAAAGAATGGTATAACAAAAGTTGGAAACAGTCCTGCTTAAATGAACAGTAACATGCACATGGCAAGCCAGGCTAAGAGAGTCTTGAGTATAATATAAGTAAATGCAAATCAACATTCACAGGATCACATGGCTCTTGCAATGAAAATGGATCCTAACCTTTCAGTGTTATAAAAGAAAAAAATTCATCATCTAAGAATCGGATGCTAGCACCAAAGCCAGATTTTTACCTTCAAATGATATCATAAAACATAATTTAAGGGTTGCTTTTCAGGATCCAGCATTCAAATGGACATCTAAGTTCAGGGAAGGCACAATATACAAAGATCAAAATAAAATTATACCTCGCCTCGATTTGTTAGGAAGATAACATCACCATGACTCCCCTTACGATGCCTGTGCCCATCATTTCTTGGAATGAGAATTGGAGTTGCAACCTCTAAGGATGTAACATCTGTATTTCGACCAAAATTTCTGTAGAACTCCCCATGCTGGAATAAGTTAAAAGGGGAATGATGACAAATAGAAGCATTAAATAGTTGTTCACGAACTGGTACACCAGAGGTTGCCACAGCCCAACAAGGTCGCAGAACTTCCATGGATCCACTAACAACAGTCTGTTCAGCACCATTTCCTCCAACAGCCTGAGAATGATAAGCATAAAGTCATTTAGCACCTGCATCTTTCTAAAATTTCTGCTAATGCCATTCAGATACTGCATAAATTATCATTGCATTTTGATGATTCCTTTCACATCATCTTTATATGATGATAAATGAGCTTCATCATAATGTCAAAAGTCTACATATTTAGTGTGAAGATTTTTGCAATCAGCATATACAGCATAGCATGTCACTATAATCCAGATCAGATTATTATAATTTCAGGTATGAGTCATATGACACCCTAAAACCATGAATTTGTGAAGTAAGCCTTAACAACTGGAGCCTAACATAGCTACAATCTGGATCAGATATGTATATATTTTTGGTGTAAAATGACCACATTTTCACAGAAATTTGATGCAAACCTCTAAAGAAAGGACAGTAATGTAATCCATTTTTCTACACCAAAACACTTCTCTTTAATTTTACAAAATACACAACAACCACCTAGTGCAAAAGTTTGGAGATATGATAAAGGGAGTAAAAGTGCACCTGGACATGATCTAGGACTCCATCTCCATTAATATCAGCATGAAGACCACCTTCTTGGAGATGAAGCTGAAGAAATCAATGAATTTCACATTACTTGTTGCACATGCTAGAGCTGATATCACATCTCAGGTAAATAGAAAGAATATAAAAGCTCTATTAACAGAAGATTGAATTTCATCCACATGCTTAAGACTGTGCTTAGAGTGAGCTATTCAACCAGCTTTTAATGAGTAGGCTTGACAGCAATTTCTTCTAAATAAATAAAGGCTTAGGTGGCAGGCCAAGCCTTTATTTATAATTGTGGATTTAAATTACCTTGCATATAAGTCGACCAGTTGCCAAATGAACAACTTCTATCCCTTCCTTTTGATGAGCCACAACAACATTAGGAACCCACCAAAGGTTGGTGTGGTTTGTTATTGTCGGAATATAATTATTTGGCTGCATAAAAAGAGAAAACTAGGATGTTACAAGGCATTTATATAATGAAATTGCAGAGGACTTTGCGTGTGGTCCTCTCTTAGGGCAACAGTCCTCATGGTTGGTGCAACTGTAAAAGACTTTGTTGTTGGACATGTAATGTACCTTAAAAAAACAAGAAAAAAACAAAAGTAAAACTTGAAAACTAAAAACCAAAAACCAAGAAAAACAGAGAAAGGCAGATGAAGAAAGAAATGAAGTTTGGCAAAATCAAAATGAGAACAAAAAGTGTTGATCCCTTTTTCTCTCTTCAGCACATTCACAACTTAAAATAATTATCATATGAGATCCTGGTGAAAACAGAAACAACTTCAAAACCAAAACATCCGCATATATAAACAATATTTGTGACATACAATGACATGCCTCAACAACAGATAGCTCTGTGAAAACCTAGCAAACTACCTTCTTAGTTTTTGCTGAACCAGCGTACTTTGCTGCTTCTCCAATCAACTTTGAAATTTTTTTAGTTGAGTCCTTCCCTGGAGGATGGTGTTCCTCAGGCTTGTTAAAAGGGTACGTTGTTGTCTTTCCAGCCACTCTCTTCAATGTTTTCCGTTTGTGTCGCCTGAAGTGTGCAAGCTTCAGCAATGTATCTTCTCTCCTATCCTGGAAAAGATACATGTAACATGAATCAACATTTTTAAGATTAAAATAAACCTAATAATCTGCATAAATATAGCAGGTGTATACTCACCCATTGATGTGGCATAACTCCAAGGAGTGATTCTCTGACATCCCCACATGCAAGCTACAATTAAACTTGTGTCAGTGTGCATACTTTTTGGGGATTATGTCAATAACTGGAAGCAGACAATTCCAAAGAACTATTGTCCCAGGTATCATCTAGAATCCAAGACTCTTCTTAAACATAATGAAAATAAAAGGACAGTACCAAGCATCAGAAGTCAAACAAAATTCAAAGGACAGAATGCACAGAAAATTGTGCTGTCATGTGTATAGTGAGTCATTGGACTGGTATTTGGACAGGCAAATGTAAAAAGATTCACAAAAATACAAAAACGTGATTAAAGAAATAAACACAAAAATAAATGGAAATCACCAAATATAACTTTCAATTTGACCATGAGATTGTTATAATTGTTATTATTTTTTCCTCAGAAGATTTTTCTTGCCTTCTTCCTCTGAAGATGAATAAAAGACTCCATCAGCATTAATTTATTGTGTTGTGTGCATTATTCCACAAATAACTCTAGAATTACCTGTCCAGGATGGCGATTGTTCAAAGCTTGTGCATCTAGCTTGTAATTGTGCTGTGGAATTAGCTGTAAAGGATCTGATGAATGCTCTTCAATATTCTAAACAACCAAAATGATTACATTAGCACCAAGGAGAAGACACCTTAGAAACCATAAAAAAATGATTGTAAATCAGATACCAACCCCAACAATACATGTTCATGATTTCATATATTCAATCTGTCAAACACATTACACCAGATATTTTGAATTGTTCCAAGCATTCCTCATTCACTACATGATATATAATTGTATTGAGCACAGATTAATACACCAGAATAAGTAAAAGTAGCTGGCTACATCAAGTAAAAGCACAAACCCTGCAATCTAGAATTGCAAGTGAATATGTCTGATTCTTATTTCTCTCACTAAAAGAGACTGGAAAATTTAACGTATAGGAAAACTAGCTGTCACCTAGGCCCCATATTCAGGCATTCCTATAATTGAACAAGAATTATGAACAACTCAGACAACATGGATTGCCTCTCAAAAAGACTTAAGAAAAGTCATGAAGAGTGATGATTGGCTATAAAACTAATTTAGTTAAGACAAAAACAGCCTCCTCTAAAAGAGGGGAAAATTGTAAACTAAAATTAACAGAGAAAATTAAACACCAAATTTAATACCTCATTCTTTCTACTCCAACGAAGTTGACCACTTCTCCCAGCAAATGCATGAAATGCAAAATGGTGTAAATTCACAGTTCCAGAGTTCTCAGAAGCCTGTGCAAAAAGCAAAAGACAAAATTATTAAAAAGATAAAACTAGATATGATGTCAACCAGGTATTAACAATGCTTTATTTTCATTTACGGAATAGTACAATAATCATCAAGTTGCTTGACATAGGATGTATTAGAAAACACTGTATTGACATACGATATTTCCAGGTATGAAAAACTGCCCCAGAACAATAAGGAAAATGCACAATTTGCTAACATTTTCGGACATGATGACGAAGTTGCAAAGACTTCCACCATCCTAGTGTCCCCCAGAAGAAAGATAATAACAATTTGACGGCTTCAGAACTCAGAAGGTTAATTAATAATAGTAAAAGGGAAAGGCAAAGGGATGGGGGGTGGAGGCATTTGTTGTTTGCAGGTTTGAGATCGCACACTAAGCATGTCTATGAAATACCAAATCTAGTCAAAGAAGCATAAGATTCCAGCATCAGAATGAATGATGATATATATTGGTTTTAGGAATTTGAATTTAGATGTGGGAGTTATTTGAAATATACATTTTAAATCTATGGACATATAGATGCATTTAGAAATTCATTGTCTTGCTGAAATATGAAAACCATGACTTTGAAAAACATGTACATTCAGGAAAAAGAAAAAATAATAATAAGGCTTTGAAATTAAACGTTGGCACTTAATGAAGCATAGGCTTTGAAATATAGCCCTTTTTTTTCATTCTTTAAATGAACCCAAACGATGTATGTGAAATTAGAGGACCAAATCCAAATACACTACTTGAATTCATGCTACCAAATCAACAATAACACAAAACCCTACCTCCTTTTCACTTGCACTTCTTCTATGTTGCTCAGCATTTCGCTCTGTCACTCCAATTTCTTCAAAAGGATCTATGTAAATCTGAAAATTGTAATGACAGCTATTAGTACATCATAGGACTATGATATGAAAAAGTACACTGCATTGAAATCTTCTCATTAGGGTTAATAACTCATACAGATGTTGATTAGTTGGTAAAAGAAAGTCCAGTCCCTATATATTATTAAATTAAAGAGTTCCCAAAGAGAACATGAGTCAGAAAAAAAAAAAAAAAGGGACAAAAGAAAGAATGAGCCAATGACAATAGGGATAAAGATCTACTAGCTCATTGGAAAGACATTAAGAAGAAAGAAATGGAATCTAAATGGTAAATCTTTGAAAGATAATGAAGTAACCCATGAAGAAAGGGGGAAAAAAAAGGAAAAGAGAGAGAGAGAGATAGTACAACTGTGTTAAACCTTTTCAACCAAATATAAAAAAAGGGGGGAAAAAGAAAAGAAAAGAAAAGAAAATGACGCATGAAATGATGAAAGTCTAAAATTCATCCCCACACCAAAACTCCTAATCAACTGTCCAGAAGGGACAACAATGACAGATGACCCAATCCAATTATTTGCAGCTTGGCAAGCCCCTCTAAACTACGTTTCTATTAATTCAACAAAACACAAGTTAATCAAAATTCAGAAACCAATCAGTTTTACTTCTTAAACGTCTGTAGTTAATTTTTGAAACAAAACATCATCAATTGACCACATTTTCCAACTCAAAAGCATCAGTTCATAGATTGGAAGTAAATAAACTCAACTGAAAAGATAACGTAATAAACATACATGAGACTGCATTTCCATTCTCCCACCAACAATGACTAGTCCTACATCTCCATGTTTCAAGGTGTAATTGCTTATGGAGATGGCTATTTCCCTGTGGTGAGCATTATGTGGAAAATCCTCCTGTCAAACAACATGAATTTGGATGAACATTATTTGACAGAAAGTCATAGAGTTTCAAATCTAAAGCAATTCTTGTTCTTTTGCCAAAATGCTAGCATAAGAAAACAAACCTGCAAGTTATTTTCCCATAGCTTTTGGAGATTATGATCGAAACACATAACAGACCAACCGGACGTGACAACAACCAGAACCTGCTTAAGCGGTTGCCCGGGTTTATATACCCGATCTATAACACCCGTGGCCATGGCCACAGGACGTCTACCACTTGTAACCCTGATCTTATCGGGCAACAAGGAAACCTCCGTCAGCACTCGCGCTTCACTGAAACTCTCATCCACTCGCCTTGCATGTGGTTCCAGTATCTAAAATCGAAACATTCGAGCACATATATAGCCACAAAAAAAAAAAAAAGAAGGGGGGAAAGGGGATTTAAATTAGAGAGCTAAATTGAATAATAAAGAGAAAACCCCAGCAAAGATAAACCTGAATTTTGGCGTCATGCGTGGCGATGAGGACTTCTTTCTTTCCGTCGCCGTTGAGATCGGCGACGAGAGGCGGAGGGAGACGATCGGCTTCGTATTTGATAGGATATTCATCTGATAAATGAAACCAAGCTTCTCTAAAGGAGAAATCACCCTCGTGCTGTTAAGAATTGGGGAAGAAGAAAAATCAATCAGATATTCCGACGAAAAGGATGATGAACAGAGAGGAGTGTGAAGAAAAGGAACCTGAAGGGAGAAGAAAATCGCGAAAGCTGAGAGCATGAGAATGGCCAAATCTCGTTTCCTCATATCGGAATCTAGTTCGCTTGCTTCTGCTGTGTCTGAAGACTATAAATCGTCGATTTGCAGTGGGCAGATTCCGGTACTGTAACTGCTTGCTAAAGCAGCGTAGGATCTAGTGGAGTATATATAGTTCCATAATCTAGGATTCATCATGCTTGATTTTCACTTTCCTATTTTAATAATTTGTTATTATAATGATATTATCAAAAAAGAATTTTTGTGAAGTTGTTTCAATATTTTAAATTTTCAGTATAAAAAATATAAAGAAATAATTTTTGTATAATTTTTTTATATAATTTAACATATTATTTAAATGATTAATTTTTTTTAATTTATGTAATAATTTATAATATTAAATGTATCTATCATTTAATAATATATACAAATTATATTAAAAAATTAAATAAAAAAATTATTCTTATAACACGCCAAAAATATATCTTTTAACTTTTTTTTAGGTTTTTTTTTCGTTTAAACCCTATTTTAACTAAATTTAAAATCATTTTTTAAAATATATATTTTATAAAAACTAAAAAGTATTTTGTATCCCATCCATCCTCACCCATACAAAGAGAAATATATTTTGCAAACCAAACCATCCAATTTAAATCAATGACTTGGAGACAAACCCCTTAAAATTGAAGTGTATTCCTATCTGGTAGTTATTGTTTTGTAATTTGGTGTCTGAACCTCAAAATAGAGAGGCAAGAACCATTAGAAAACCTTTTTTTTTTTTTTTTAACAAGTATAATTTAAGAATAAAAAATAAAAAATTGTAATATGATAGCACCATAATTCGAATATGAATCATTGCCAAGGCATTGAACGCACCTATTAAATAGTGCATGAGATCTGGTGCAACCATAAGAAAACTATGTTTCCTTTCCATTTAAGACAGATGGTTAGGGAAATTTTGGCTTTGCCTGTCTAATTTTGCTGTGCCCTCCAAAGAGGAGAGCGAAAACAAGCTTCACATGGCCTTGCACCTTACATATAAGCTCAACTGCATATGTAGTAAACAGCATTTACGTGACGGGAAGTGCTTGGTACTGGAGGATTTTTATGTAACCTTCTGAGTTTGCTGTTTCAAGGCCTTTTCCCTTTTTCTAGCTTCCAGGTGAATGGCTAGTTGTGCACGCTTCTTTTTTGCTTCTTCCAACTGCTTCTCTAATTCTTCAATCTACTCTCATACCAGCCATTAAAGAAAAAACTTGTCATCAAATTTATTTCAGAACAACAAAAGGTATTCATACTCTCTAGCTACAAGCTAAGAACATGTTTAGCAAGAAAAAACTTACCGTCTGTTTCAACTCAGACTCCTTCTGCGCATGCTCTTCACACCTGTCGGAGAGGCGTATTATTGGATTTAAGCAGGCAACAATAATAAACAAAGAAGCAACACACAAGACAAGAACTTTCCCCCTTTTTTTTCAATAGAGCAAGACAAGAAAATTTTAATTAAACATCAATTAATTGAAGGGGATATAGGAGAATCTAAAGGTAGCATTTGGATGTTCAAATGATGAATAGGCTTTAAGAATTGGTTTTTTTTTTTTTTCTCTCTCTTGGCTCTCAGCTTTTAAGCATTGTTTAATTTGAGCTAACACACACACACACACCCCAAATTTGAAGTTCCGAATGTGGCAGCAGATGGATATTTTAATTTGAACTAGAGGTATTCAAGATATGAAATGTTTTGCAGAACCCTCCAAACAATTATAAATCAACAATAAACATATACCTCATAAAAAGTTGTATGTTCTCCTCACACAATTGATCAATTGATATAGATCCCAGGGCCAGATCTTGTTCAGAAGTGGCTTCAGTAAGGACCTGCAGTTAAGTAGCGAGCAACTATGAGTTAAGCATAGGTACCACCACAAGCTTTAAATTCACAATAAAGGATTACAGATACAAAATGCACAAAGAATTATTACCAGATGATGTTGATGATCATGAGATAAGAAAAGCATCCATTCATTTTCATCAATGAATTCTCATGCAGTAAGATTAAGTCCTGTTCATGTGATTAATTAGGCCCCTTTTAGCCAGTTTACCTCGGAATAAAGTCTTTGTCTGTTCGCCCCAAAAAGAAAAAAGTCCAAAGTTCTTAAAGATAAATACTAAGGCTTCTATGGTTGGATACTATAAATTCCCAAAATAATATATGCTGACAATAGAGTTGTTCAAATTCTCATGCCAACTACAGATGCATGTAAATTTGATGCAAAATATAATACGGACAGTTAAATTTTTGGGTGATATAAAATCCAAATGTTTTATCTTGATTGAAAGGAATATCAACTACATTTTCAGTTTTCCCCAACCTGATCCTCTTCTTTCACTGAGTTTTTGTGAGAATTGGCATGTAAAAATGTGTGCTTAGCCTCTCACGAGCAGGAATCATCACCCCACAGGGTAATCCAAGCGGTTGATTTGGATTATATAAACAGATACATACATATGCAATTGTAGAGGGGTGCAGTGAAAAAAACATGTCCCACAAAACTTGAGACCTACATGTTTGCAATAGGTCATGATACCATAGGAAACTTTGATACTTGCTTCTACTAGTTCTTTAACTTATTTTTATCATTACTATTATTATTTTTAAAACAAGGTAGGCTGAGCATTCCACTTGCAAGTTGCAAGAATAAATGGGCATGTGAAAGTCATTAACTATTTGTTGTCCTTTAACATACATGCATGAGTTGTTTATTTTTGTGGTTTTTGAAGTACCTAATATGCCATTTAATGTGAAATCAGCTAACTTTTCATAATAATTGTAAGCAAGATATCTAAGATTTAATGTCAGAATTTAACACCATTATATCCATGGAAACAACTAGAAAATCTGACACATACTTCAACAAATTAGCCATGTCCAGACAACAGATACTTTTAGACACATCTGTAAT